AAATACGTAAACATTAACGGAAATTGCGCACATTAAACAATAAATAAAACACATTAAAAATTATAATATTTAAAGTATTGGGAACTTGGTACACCAAATGATAACGAAATACTTAATGAAATCTACAAAATGTAGAAAAAAAAATTAGGCACAATTTCTAAGAATCAATGTAACATAGTATATATATTTACCATGTAAATCATTTTAAATCATGCTCATTCTATAAGTATTTAAACTCACAAGGAACACCTCAGGTTTACCCTCTCGGATTTTGATGAAACTTTGCTTAGTAATATAATTGATAGGCCAAATAGACCCCTTGAAATATTATAGACCTAGGAGAAGTAGTTTAATTTTAAAAATTAAATAACGTTCAGAAATAGGCTACCCGCAATGCGTACAGCTATATGGTACCAGGATATGTTCTATAGTTCACTAATTAAATCAAAATAACATATTTTCATCTGTTCCTATGTATTGTTTCCATAAGTAAATATTACACTTCCAATTAGAAATGACTAGGCCAAACGTGTATTCATTTATTCATTATTATAGAGCGCTCAGTTTCTTCTTTGCAATACCGATTGTATTATTATTCATGCATATACAATTGCAGGCTGTGTAAATGTTGGAAAGCGTTTTTTAATACTATGTTAAATATTTAAGTCTTCATAACCTAAATTCAATCATTTTGTATGCATATCATTAACATATCTAGAGAGCACATTGTTCGAAAATGTAAATTCCAGATGTTCCTTGAATATAACTGTAGTTATAATGATTTTTAATTGATATTTAAACAAACGTAATTGTGATATTATGGTTATGTAGGAAGTAAATGAAGTTTAGTCCATTACTAATCAAGTTTGTTTGTAACATCAGTCTTTCTCTTCGCATGGTGTGTTATTAATTTTGAAAGCCATAAAACTCATATTGATTTGAAACATTTTCTCAACGCCAATCTGTTGACAGGTCTTGTACTGTAATAAAAGAAACAACATCCATCTACAATTCATTATATCTAATTTTTTTCTAACAACGGACGTGTCCATGTTTTACGACTTCTATAAATCATGACACGGCGTACAAAAAAAAGAAACACGAAGAGCAAAGTTTCTTCGGCATCCCGTCAACTATCAAATGCTAGCAAAATAATAGCACCGAGTTTCATCAGGGGTCATTAAACGAGTTTTACTAGCAAAAGTAACTAATTTAAAACGACTGTATTGCATGCTGGGAGGCTGGAAATGATGTTGCAGCGGAAAATCTAAACCGCGGACGGTCAATGGCGAAACACAAATACACCAGGAACGCTCTTTGTGCGAATGGCCCGAACTAAATTTATACGAAAAACTAGCTCGAAGAGCTGAAAGAGATGTATGTGTTAGGTAACGTAAAAACTTGATACAGATTTGTTACAGTTTATGAATTTTGAAATGTTGATATATGCGACCGACATGCGACAAGTGGTTACTAAAACTCGTGGGAGCAAAATACATTGAAGTCATTTTTAACTTCCCGAAGGAAGTTTTTTTAGCAAGGTGAAAAGAGGAGAAGGAGAACTGTTTACACCAAGCTTGAAAAAAATGTGTGTGTATGTGCATGTGAGATCCCTTTATGGGATTTTGGACCTTTCGTCGACGTTTTCCCAAAAAGACTTGCACCCCTCCTCTATTTCAACACATTAACAACCCCATGAAGAATCTCTTACACCTAGTTTCTTAATATTCTATTCTTGGAAACCTATTACAAGCAAATCTTATTACAATTATGATAAATTATTCTTGAAATTATCATGTTTTGAGACTTGTATTAACAATTCCCAATGGATATGATCTATATTAACCATTTAACCGTGGCGCACTCATTGAACTGTTCACATATTTTTGATATATCTCCAATGGTCTTAACATAAAAAGTGTTTCTATTCCTTACAAGCGCTATTTTTGCAACTTCTTTGATTAATTTTTTTAATTAAACCACTTCTCATAGGCCTATAATGTTTTATGGGGTTTGTTTTGACTATCAACTCTATCACTATTCGAATTTCAATCAAAATCCCAAAAGAGTAAACCTGAGGTTTTACTTGTAGTGATATCTTTAGAATAGATTAAGATTTAAGATTTTGCATAGATTATTTTATTAAATAAAATAAACAGATGATCATCGGAATCTCATAATAAATTTATGAGTATTTTCTTGGCACCAGTTTTTGAAATATTTGACTTGGCTTTACCTCAATTAAAAAAAATTACACGGAAACGATCAAAAACACGCACTTAATACTCCTCCATTTATATAATTACGATTTATGTCTGTTCTCAAGTTTTTCTACTACAATTAGAAATAAATCATCAAATTGTTATATCTTTAAACTTACAACTATAATATTAATTTTACAGTATAAATTGCATTTTATTTTGTATTTAAATTTATGTATTTCAAATTGCTTATGCTAATATCAGACTGCAAACAATATAATGGTGTTATTTTCTTATGGCTGCATCTGTTTCAAGCATTTTGGAACCAGCTTTTTGATCTTTCTCCACCAACTATTTATGTATAATACATACGCTTTTATGTATACTAGGAATAAGTTAAATTTAATAAATAATTCTTGGTTGTTCCTTTGACGATAATTTGTTATGTAACTCTAGACATTTGATTAAAAGCATTCCTATTACTTTAGTACATTTATTTTTGTTTCTGTACTCATAAAATCTTAATAAACGCTGGATGGAGATGACCGAAATCGTTGAGGTCTTATTTACAAACTATTTTATATTAAACTATTATTTTTCAAGCGTGCAATTTTGTGCATTCGTCTATCACAAACATTTTTTTTACATCACCGAATATATTTTAGCAGTCTATTACAAAGATTTGTCGGTTTGCCACACGATTTGGTATGATTTTGTGTTACCTTACCTAGAGGAGAACCGGTTATGCAATCGAGTCTTTGATAATACAACATTACATTACATTAACCTGTGCGGCCGGCGAGTTAAAATATCAGGGCTGTGAAATTTTATTTACATTGTTGATAAATAACTTACATAATTTAATACGAAAAGCTTGCTGCGACTTCGTGGAAAAGTCTTTGGTCTTGCGACTATAGGTTACAAGTTTTAGTCCGGTCTCAGACTGCTTGTCATCAAGCAATAGAGAAAATGTATATTGAAATATGATTTTAAGTGAAAGTGGTTTTTTGGGGGAATTGCAGCACATACATATCACAATTAGAAATTCTTTTAATAATTTCATTACAGACAATGACCCAGTGGTTGTCTACTGGATTGCCTCCTAATTATTAACAGACAACCTTGTTTATAAGGAATTATGTACATGCTGATGAAACATTAAAAATAATTTTGATTGCTATTCAAAACATAAAGTAAATTGTAATAATCATTTCAAATACGATATATTATATTTGACATAAAAAGTATCAATAAAAGTAGTGATACAATATTTTGTCGATCAAATTCTCTTCCTTCAGCCCTGTATCTGCGTGTACGATGAAGTTCATACCCGGAACATTTATAGATTTTTTTTCTGGTTTTATAACCGGAATTTACATTACAATTCCACCCACATTTTCATTTTCAAATACTCTGCTCTGAATTGATACTCTATCGAATTGATTGATCGACGTCCAAGTATCAGGAAACGTGAAATTTGTGCCCGCGTAGGCTTGTTATAGTTAATTTATTTTTATTTTTTTGTAATTGATAGTAAAGGTTGTTAAATATATACCTACAGGTATTTCTTTATCTCAAGTTTTGTATTTGTTGACTAGGTTCATGTCTGTTCAGTTCAGATAATATTCAGGATTTTGAACAGGTTTATAATGGAAATTCAATACAACTGCTCTTGTTTGAAATAAAGTTCTCGTGCTGACTTTATTATTATGTTATGAAAGTTTTTGAAATTGAATTTATAAGCTTGATTTTCTGGTTGTAGAAACTAGAATATTTAGTTCAGTGTGGGTAATCTAAATATAATGAACTTTATTTTCTAATTTGAGGTATAGAAGATAGAAAATAGAGTTCATTACCATCTTGCAAATTAATTCATTATAATCTAATAAGGTATGAGTGATAAATAATTACCTTCATATTTTTGTATTGTTAAATACACGTTTATATTACATTTTATAGATAGTACTATAATTTGCATTAATTTATAGTCATTAAAATTTTGCAACTATGATTGGTACTAAATAATTTAATTTACCATGAATCGTTACATAATGATCAATTATTTGTATTGGAGCTAATATATAAGTATCAAATATTTGATCAAAATTTGCGATACATTTATTGTAAAAAATCGCCTTACATTTATGCATTTCGTACAAAATAAATTACAACGTCTATTGGAAATTTTTACTTATAGGTTTAGCTGGGCTGTTTCTTTGTTGATTTTGATGAATCTTTATATAAAAGTAAAATGTTATAGGCCCACGATAAGTAGTTGAATTATAAAAATTAAGCAAAGTTTAGAATATTGCGTTTAAGCCATATATGAACGACTCCTGTTTAGTTGGCAGCTACTGATTAGTAGTTTACGCCCACCCTCTTATTAAATACTCGTTTAGAACCTGAATTAGATAAAATGAATTGTGTTAAACAAATTAATTTAAAATATACAATTACAGGTATTATAAGTATGTTTGAATGGCGTTAAAGCAATTTTATTTCCTAACTAAATAGTTTGAAGTAATTTTATATAAGGGTGAGTCTATTAATCACGTGAGGCTTAATGGGGGAGGGGGATTTGAATTTATTATTACCTGAATTTAAAAAAATCCAAAAATAATTAAAATATTAGGGCATTTAATGTCATGTTTATAATTATGTTTTCGTTCTTTTTTGTGTCGGAGATGATTAGATTTCTTACAACTACTATATTTATTATGCTTCTATTTCTGCCTAGCACGTAGATGATATGTTCACAGTCCAAGCTTTCGCCAACTAAAATGTTTGCTTTGTTTTCAGGCGCAGCCAAGAAGCGAGATGTCGTCCGGCAAACCTCTACGCCGCCGGCGCTGTCCGAGCACCCGGTTCGGCACACAAAGCAGGCCGCCAGCCCGATGCGGCCGGTCAGGCCGAACAATTTACTCCGTGAGTACTATTAGAAATATAATAGACATATAAAAATGATACTCAATTTTTGAATGAGTCAAAATTTATACCTTGATCAAGATATTCAAAGTTAATTGCTATATTAGCCAACACCCAAGAAGTCCTATATGAGCCCTGTCAGATATATGTGCCTATTCGGTAGAAGAAGACAAAAAGTTTTGATACGACACAAAACTGATTTTTTTTTCAGAAATCGCGCTATTTTATCAACTATTCTATTAATTTTTGTAATTAAACAACTTCTTGTAGGCCTATAATATTTTATGGTGTTTGGCTTCACTATATTCCGTATCATCAAGCAAAGTTTCATCGAAATCCCAAAAGAGTAAACCTGAATAAACGTGGTAAATTTTAATTTTTTTCTAAACTACATATAATATATTGCTACAAAAACGTTTTATCTTGCTAAAAACGAGTAAATAAAAATTATATAATATTAGAATTTTCTAAAATGCATATTAAAGTGTGATTCGTAATCGTTAAAACGTCTTTGACGGACGCGAGTAGGGTAAGTTATTGCAATGGGCCGAAAATCGAATTGAAAATTTTACATTTCTCGACGTTTTGAAGGTTTCTGAACATTTTGGCATACCTCAGAAAAAATGGATGTGTGTGTGTTTGTGTGTGTGTGTGTATGTATCGGGCGCACGATCAACTGATTTGAATGGTTCAAAAATTATTCTGATAGGGAGATGAGCTGATTAGTCTTTGGCAAAGGCAGGTCCAGCAGTTACAGAGATAAAGAGCAAAGAGTGCAGAAAATACAAATCGAGTTTTTGAGAGAACGGAGCATACGATTTGAATGATCTAAAAAATATTCACTTAGTAATGATTGGGAGAAGTGTTTATTAGTTGTCTCAACAAAATAATTGATTTTGGAAAAAAAAATTTTTTTAAATTTTTTTTTTCAAAAACGATTTTTTTGTATATGAAAATAATTCAGATTTTATTTTTAATTCTGACTATAGTTCTAATATACTTTAAACAAATAATTTCAACTTTGCAATTCAGTTTATATCATTCTTATAAATATTAGACAATGTTTACGATATTTATAATAATCTATTTGAAAACATTCAGTATTCCTCGAACATTTCGTTACGGTACGGGAAGTTCTAGCAATTTGCCTTAAGGCACGATGTCATACACCCCACTACTTGGTAAATAACATTATGACTTAAAAATTAAATCATGGCTACTTAGATCAATTTGTATTTTTATTACACTAATGCAATGTTGACTTTCAATTACATTGTATAATCTATTACATTTTTGACAAGTGCCTTGAAGCGTTTTTTAATTATGTTCTCTCTCACTGCATATATTAACTAATTCATACATGGGTTTACAATTTCTGAAAGGTATGTAAATGAATTTACATGTAAGTAAATCTAGAAGTTTTCACGACTTTTATATAATATATCTAAAGCCATCGTTCTATTATTACCGACGCTATATTTAATTGGTTCGACATGACTAAATTCGAATATTTGCATTAATTATGATTCGAAACGACTCAATGATAAGATTTTATGCTCTATTTACAGCAAAATTTCCAGTCGGTTGTAATTAATATTATCATTTCATTTTACGTAAGGTTTTAAATATATTAAATATATAAAAATCATGAAAATATAGATAGTGGAAACGTTTTGGGCTTATCCAGATATTTCTTGTCACAACCTGTTGAGTAAAAGGGTTTCTGCCAAGAAATATTAGCTTGGATCAAAGGATTTATATTACCTGAGTCGTGTTCAAAATATTATATGAATAGAATACAACCTATTTAACATATCCATCTCTTTTGTCATTCGGACCACTTTCACTTAATATTGTAGGTGCGTTCTTTGAACTTTCCGATTGTTTTTATTACATGTATAAATAATACCTTATAATATAGAGGCGTTTCAGTTTACAGTAAAAGTCTAGTATTGTGTTGATATCATATTTATGATTACATAAACATGTTACTTTGATTGTATAATTATTTCTGAAGTGCGAAAATTTCCATTTTATTTAAATTTGTGGTTTTATCGTATACGTGGGAATTAATAATAGCTACGAAAAATATATTGATATTTTGCTTTCATATAAAAGATATATTTTTTTGCTTCTTGTAACGATCTAATAAACTATTAACAAGATATTTTCAAAAAATTCCTAGATAAAATTAAATTATTGTGAGTGTAATTAATGTTACACATACCAGCTATATGGTCATATAAAAGCTTTATGTTATTTTACACTTACATTTATTTTAATTTTTCTGTCTTTCTATTATGACACTATTGATAGGAGTACAAAGTATATATGAAGCTCTTATTAGCTTTAATATTATGTTCTCTACAAATCACAAGGAGCATTTTTTTTAGAGACAAGCGGTTTGAGTTTTAAATATTTATTTATACTGCAGTTTTATAACTTTCACTCTCAACATTTATGTATCTATCGAATTCATTACCATGCCTTATAAAGAAGATCAATTTACCATAGAACTTTATCTGATTTATAACATTTATAACAATATCCATGACAGCAAATGTAACTTTTCGCAACAATATGAAGATATAAAAGATAGAGAAGAATGTCATGTATTTCTCATGGTTTTAAACTTATGACGAAATTTGGAATCTAGTAATATTTGTACTGGAATCGTGCTCTAGAGAAGATAGAATGAATTATCACCTTCTTGCTTAAGAAAGTAAAGGTCTCTCTTTTAGTTAAAAAATAATCTCTTTGAAATTTGATGAATGATATTTATATAGAGGTTTTATAAAAAAAATTAAAATCAAGCATACTCTCTATTACTACTTCTTTTTTCTCGTCCAATGTGACGATTTCTTTATTTATATAGATGATCATTTTCAAACAAAAACTTCCTTCTGTTTTGCATGATGCACCAAGTTGTACAAGACAATTCTTCTGTAAACACGCTTATGTTAATAACTGTGTTTATTTATGAATAATAAACGAAAGTTTTAGAAATCAGTTATAATGTGCATATTTTGTGAGCTTAATAGGATATG